ATCTTATTTCTAATATATAGAGTGCACTTTAAGCAAAATGTAATAAATTGCATTTATATTATTTCATGCCTATAATGAGAAATGATGTCAATACATAATTTCTTCATATGTTATATTTCTATCATGCATATATACACCATAAAGCTATTGGAAATTTATTCAAAAATAATAATAAATAAAAACTTCCATAGATTTCTCTATGAGTTTTTCCTTTTAAAAAATACTATGGATATATTTAAGAAGAAAAATTAAATTAAATTAAATTGATCTTGCTCTAAATGAAGAGAAATCCAAGAGCTAACCCTAACCTTATTTACCATGATAAAATGAGGAAAATTGAAGGCCAACACATTTAGGCTCTTTGCTCTAAGTAGGCTTACACCTTTTTAATGTCCTTAAACATGTGTGAGGCTTAATATCATTATCATTTGTTCAAGTTCATGCTTAATAAGAGATATTATTTGCATAATTATGATAATGATGGCACATACTTGGTATTTTGCATGAATTGGAGAAACATTCTCCATCAAATGACTATATGCTTTGAAGTTAACATTTGGAAAAGGTTAGTATCTTACCCACTAATAGAGCATTGGTTGTAATGGCACGATCCCCTTTGCAAAATAAAATAGAGAAGTTTTTTTCATCAAAATAATGCTAGAACATCAAAATATACATTATGTAGGGCAAAGTGGAAGGATCAATGTGATTTTTAATCATAACAAAAAAAAAATATGGGTGAGACCATTCCTTCTAAAATTTTCTTTTTCTTAAATCCCCCACGCACCCAATACACCCTCCAATGTTATGGTCAAATTTTTTTTATAGAAAGTGATTGTCCAAGGCTTTTTATTTATTTATTCATGTATTTTTTTTTTTTTTACTTTAAAACACACTTTTAGCGCTCCTCATCTAGTGTTCAAAAAGTGCATCTTTTAATATCAAAGAATAAATTAAAAAAAAAAACTTACTACATCATACTAAGATTGTCGACTTCTTACAATCTAACAAAAATGTGATCTTACCATTGGAAGAAGCATCAAGTGATTGGAGGATGAAGAAAAAGCTTTGAGAAGGAAAGTAGCAATAAAAGTTTTGTTGCAAATTTTGCTAGATTACTATGAAATATCACTTCGTTAGAAATAACATGAATTGTATGTTGTAACTCTATCATAACTACAATTGGCTCTTTCCAAACCAAGAAAAGATTTAGTGCATGACTCCCTAAAATCCACTGGCCAAAGTTATAGGGCATAAAATCGTATATTTTTACAAGAATTAGTCTATCAAATATAAAAGGAACACAAAATACAAGGTGAGTCAACACCAACTAACTTAACTTCTGGAAAGAAAACTCTGGACATGGGGCATATAAATTCTTCCATTAACTTGTTAAGCATGGCTTCAAAACCAAAATCATCAAGAACTGCACCATAATTATTCATTGTATTAGGTCTCATGGTCTTAAATTTAACAGCTGCTGCCCACTTTTCAAAATTGTGAACCTCATATAACAGCAGCTCACAGAAGCTTGGCTGAAGCATTGCAAATGAATATACTCCAGGTGATAGCTCAAACATTATCTTTTTGAAGCCCTCTTTTGTGTTCTCCCTGATTGCTCCAGTAAATGATGGAACAGAAAAGGATGAAGGATGCAAGTTCTATTATTTCTTTGGTGGGCTTCTAAGTTGAGACAAGATGGAAGGAGAACGCTTGTAAGGAAGCAAGAATGAATCATAATCACCAAATTTTGTCCCACAGAAACTCCACCTTCAAATTCTCTGCGAAGATACCACAAGACATGTTGGAGTTTCACATCAATATAGAAAAGGTCGACATCAGGATCGAAGTAGCCATCCTCCTCCTTTCCCAGATTTTCAACCTCCTCAGGCTGGCTGTCAAGAAAAAAGAAAAAAACAGTCATTTTTATTTACTCTGATCCATGATTATACAACATTAGACCAATAACAGCAAGGTTTATTAAACATGTTTGCACTCAAATTTATGTCATTGAAGCCCATTACATTTCTTGCATCTTATACAGAGCTCCACAAAAGCAAATTTCTTCTCATGCATGGCATATATATATATTCGTTAATACCAGAATCAGCCGAACCAGAATGTGTTGCCCTAAAAGGCCACCATAACTTGGCTAAAAAATGTTGCAACCGAGTGTTCATTAGCATCAAAGGAAATGCCTCCAAAGTACCTATTCTCTGGTGAAGAAAGGCATTGGCTAACTCAAAATAAAGCTGACTAATTAAGGCACCATGATATGTTAATGTCTTTAATTTCCTTGTTTTGCATGGTCATTTTGGTCTCATTTTGTAAATAACATTTTTCTTATTAATAATTATTTTTCCTTGAAATGAATATTAGATACAACTTTAAAGAGCTTACGTTGTATATATATTTTTTCTTTTCTTTTCTAAAGGGGAATAAGTAGGCTATATATAAATGCTAAGCATTTGAGCAAAAGGATTTTTAAGCAGAGGATAGAAAGTCTTATATCAACAGTTAGTGATTCATTTGTAATTGATTATAACAGATTTTTAGTTTCTTATCTTATTTTCATCGAGTACTTTTTTTATTCCATGGATATCTTATATTTACTTTGATTTTGGCATATAATTAAAAAGTTAAGCGTTGATTCCATAAAGATGCAAATGGATAAGTTTTTTGCTTGATGCTAAATAAATTATGATTTTTTTCTTTTTTTTTTAATGATACTTGGTATGTATTCTTGGCCTTCATACATATTTCATACAATATATATATATATATAGATGCATTTATATATATATATATATATTATCTAATATACATGTATATCCATTTATATACGTGTGTGTGTGTATACGTGTATAGATAGATATACATGTATGTATGTATATATATATATATATACATGTATGTCTGTATATAGGATATATATGTATGTAAGTATATAGCCTAATTATAAAATAAACGTGAAATCTCTCAGCACAAGCCCACAAAAGGTAAGATCTGAGCTTAAAAGAATAATTATGCACAATTTAACGATAATTGAATCACACATATGCTTAAAATTCAAACGAATTGAGGACGTGACATGACTTATGAAGTTACTTTTGACTTGAAGATGCTATTTTGAAAATCATTGAAAAAAAAATATTGCTTTGCATGCATCTACTTCAAAGGTATGCATAGCTGACTAAATTAAATGTGAATAACTTGTGCATATTTGTATGTGCATCGAAGAGCATGCAATCATATCCTGAAGCACACAAGATATGTGCAAGTTATAAACTTTCCTGACACACATGTGCACTTAACATTATACTAAATGCACGATTGCATGGCTCGAGAATATTGTGGACTAAAGTTGAATTGAATATCATCTACTTTAAAAAGCATGCTGAACTATTAAAACACCGATTTTGCAAATGCTCTGAAAAATGTGTAAATATATAGAATTTACAAAATAAATCTCTTATAATTTAGAATAAAAATACTAAATTATGCACTATCTTTAACGGGTCGTCTTGTCTATAGGACATGATCGTTTAGGACATAATCGTAAGTCCCACTGGCCTAGTCTAACTCTCCTATTAAGAAAAACTAGAGTTGTTGAAGCTAAGTGATACTTAATCAGTCAGATACTTCTCCACATAGGGATTCAAGTCGATAAGATTGACTAATAATTGAATATTAAATTTAAACTCTAGTTCTACATGAAATTTTCAAGAATTTTGTTAAAGTGATTTATCTTAAAAATATATTCTCAATATTATTGTATTTTCTAAAAGAAAATGCAATGATGAGTTAAATCATAGACTTAAGCCTCCATAGACATAAAAGACTCAATAAGACTTGTAATATAACAAATGAGTTTCAACTGTTTAAATGAAATAAATAAAATTCTCTGATCATGACCAAATTGATATAAGATTTCAACTGTTGTTCACTCTCAAAATTAAATTTCTAGTTTTTAATTAGGTTATTTTCAATGGGAATATATATATATCTGGAAA